GGCTCATGGAGGGGGGCAGATTTCTCCATCCCAGGAAAGGCTCTTGGCTTCGGGCAGGGGACCGCGTGCTGTAGGCTGAGCGAAAAGCGTGTCTCGGTTGAACCTTCTCTGGTGCGAGCTTGAGGAAATCGCTGCCCCTCCGTCGCAGGAGCTCCGATCCCCGCCGTGTTTCGAGGGGTTGGGTTTGCGTTCTGCTCAGGACGTCTCGTTTAGCATTAGCAAAGCGCCGCTGTGCTCGCTCCTTCTCATCCCTCCCTTCCTCTCGTCTCCTCTTCCAGGAGAAGGAGAAGAAATACATGTTGCCTTTGGATAATTTGAAAATCAGGGACGTGGAGAAGGGATTTATGTCTAACAAGCACGTCTTTGCCATCTTCAACACAGAGCAAAGGTAAGGGGCCGTGAGCAGGAGCAGCGGTGTCCGGGTACCTCCCGAAATCCCGTCGCTCTCCGGGCATCGCACCAGGCTCAAAACGCTGCCGAACACGCTCCGTGGTTGATGGGCTGATGGTTTTGCCCTTGCCTCGGTCATTGCTGGCCGTGCATCCGGCTTCCCCGTCCAGTCGGTGTCGTGCTCCAGGGCAGGAGCATCTGTGATCCGGTGGGGGAGGATTTCTCCAGAGGAAGCAGCAGTTTGCCAATATTTATATACACGTTCTGGAGGGATTTCAGGCTTCCTCGGGCTCCCTGGTGTTGAGGGCTCGTGGTGCTGGAGGCCTCGCCGGCGGTCTGCCGAGCCTCCCGTCCTCCTGGTTGCCCTCCGTGGTCCTCAACCCCGGCTCTGCTCCTTCTTCCCTAGGAACGTGTACAAAGATCTCCGTCAGATCGAGCTGGCCTGCGATTCCCAAGAAGATGTGGACAGCTGGAAAGCCTCCTTCCTCCGTGCGGGAGTTTACCCGGAGAAAGACCAAGTAAACACTCCCTCTGACTTGTCCGAGCCCTCCCGGAGCAGGCTGGCCGAGGGCTGCTGTCTGAGACCAGCCCGGGAAGGCTCCAGCTGCCAGAGGAGCCTTCAGACTTGGGAGCTCTTGGCTTGGGTCCTGGTGTGTCACAGTAGGTTCTCGGATACCCTGGAAAATGCCGTGGTATCGCAGAAGAGGACGAACTTTATAACGCGGTGCTAGTTTGTGCTGCCCACCCGATGGATCTAGTCGTTCCGGGCTACGAAATAAACTCTTTGTTTCAAAAAGCATCCGCGTAGGATGGAAATAGGTGGAAGGGACAGGGAATAAGTGTGGAGCAGAGGGGTTTCTTTCCGGGTCTGTCAGATCCCGACAGTAACTTGTGCCCTGCTTTCCCTGAGCAGACTGAGAACGAGGACGGCGCCCAGGAGAACACCTTCTCCATGGACCCGCAGCTGGAACGCCAGGTGGAAACCATCCGCAACCTTGTCGACTCCTACGTCGGCATCATCAACAAGTCCATCCGGGACCTCATGCCAAAGACGATAATGCACCTCATGATAAACAATGTGAGTTTGGAGGGGAACCTCGGGTGGGAAGGGAGCTTCTGGGGTCGGGGATTTTGGGGTTCTCCAGGCAGCAGACGCCGAGGACGAGTCCTGGGCCCCCCCTCGGCGTTAGGAGTCGGCTGGGCTGCGCCACGCTCGTCACCGAGCCAGAACCGAACAATGGGATTTGATGATCTTTCGATTCTTAATTTTTATGTCTTTGTGCTTGAGCTGCTTGGCAGCGGCTTTGCTGAGAAGGCATTTTGATTCTTGGCGTTTGCTCCCGCCTGGTTCTAACAAACCGGGGACACTGAACCGTCCTGCGAGTCGCTGGGACTCCACGCGCCTTCCGGAGCCGGGAGAGCTGTCCCCCTGGCGACTTCGGGTCCTCCAGCTCCTTCTCCTGCATCTCCCAACCCACTGGCTTTCATATCTCGGGGCTGATCTTCTCTTGCTCTTTCTCTTTAGACCAAGGATTTCATCCACTCGGAGCTGTTGGCCTACCTGTACTCCTCCGCCGACCAGAACAGCCTGATGGAGGAGTCGGCCGACCAGGCGCAGAGGAGGGACGACATGCTGCGCATGTACCACGCCCTGAAAGAGGCCTTGAACATCATCGGGGACATCAGCACCAGCACCGTCTCCACGCCGGTTCCCCCGCCCGTGGACGACACGTGGCTGCAGACGAGCAGCGGGCACAGGTAGGTTTGGCGGAGACGGGATGCCCCGGCGGGGATTAGTGGGATGGACGACGGGGTAACTTGGATTTGAGCTTTTTCCTGGGGGAAAGGAGGGTCAGCGTTCCGTTCCCTGAGGTGTTTTCTCTTCTCCGCAGCCCCCCGCTTCAGCGCAGACC